TAGCTCCTTCAGTCACAGTATTTAGCTCCTTCAGAGCACAATTACAGTGAATCAAGGCCCCATATAATTTGAACAGGTTTGTTCAGTACTACATTATCTCAGTCCCTGTTTATGGAAAAAAAAAAAAAAAAAAAGGCAAATTAAAAAGGCATGAACATATAGCAGATGGCCCAAAATGTAACCTACCTTAAAACAAATCAACATGTGCTTGGAGAAAGCCATCTGGTCATTTTCTGTGGAATCATTTCCCATTAAAATCAATGTTGTTGTCTTTTTTTGTTTCCATTTTTATTTTTGGGGCCACTTACAACCCCATGTGAAAGACAGACAACTCACAGGGTTAATGCTGCAGCAAGCAAATCAATCCCTGTGCTACTTTGACAAGGCCAGGAGGCAAGTCAGATGGAATTCAAGGTGAAGGAAAGGAAGAGACTCAATGTTTTGACCAATGGAAGACAAAAAGTCAGTAGGCAAAGAACGCTTTATTTTCAGAGACTTGGTGGCATTACAAACAAACAATGGAGTGTAAAAAAGTTAAAATGGTAACAAAGCAGTTGACAACATCTTTTAAAGACAAGTCAGGAAATGAACTATACATGGAGGAGGGGAAGAGGATGGGCAACAGAAGGATGTTGATGGGGAAAAGGGGAGGGATGAGACAGATGTACATTAGTGATGGCCAAAATGCAGTACAAAGCCACCACAGCGGATCCAGGATTTCCCCAAAGGAGACCATGGGAGCAGCAACCCACGTTGCATGGTTGGCTGCCCCCCCTGCTCCCAGCCATCTCTGGCATGGGCAGACCACACTTGTGGGAACCTCTCCGGAGTTTTTAAAGGTCCTAAAGTAGGTGAAAATACCCCCTTCCCCTTCTCTTTCACTCTCCCCCCGCCCTGTCTACTCCTGTGTGTATTCACCAGTTCGGGGGCAGGAAAATTCCAGAGCCATCAGGGCTGATGGAACTGGGCTCAGCTGGGAGGGGGCAGTGGCAGAGTGGCTGGTATTCCCCAGACCCTGCCTGGTGCCGGGAAGAGGAACTCCTGTCCAGCCCTGCTGCCCTTATCTCCATCCTCAGTTGAGTCCAGCACCTGCCCAGCAGGCAGGAACGGCTCTGGTGCGTCTCCATCTCCGGGACAGAGGGAAAAGGTGAGGGGCAAAGGGGATTTCTTTGAGCAAGAAAATGAGGGGCAAGAGCATTCTCATCTGCTTTCTGAACTTTAAAAAGTCCCAGGAGGCTCCTGTGGCACAGTCCAATCCAAAAGGAGGGTGCAGCTGCAATGCTGTACCCTTTTTGAATCCACCACCTTATACAAGTTGGCATATATTGGTATCCAAGACGACTCCGTTCTATGTTGTTTAGTACTCCTGCGTGTAAGCCTCAGGAGATGCCTCATCTGGATTCAGCATCATCACATTGCCACAGCTCACAGGCTGGCCCAGCTGTGCTACAGAAACGATGGTGGGGTACCTGTATCATGCTGTTTATTTGGTACCTGCGACAACTGGAACAAATCTATATTCTAACATGTGTCAGTGCAAATCTAAAGCATTTGTTAACACTGTGGAGGGCACTAACATATTTCACAATATCCAACCGTGGTAGTGGATACTGTTCCACAAATGATGTTTCCCTCCTTTTCCAGACCAAGAGGAACAACACACCTTGCTCAGTTCAACAACTTCCTTCAAATTCCTTCAATGGATAAGGACATCCAGGTATCCTCTGACCTCACTCTTCAAGGAGCTCTTCATAAAAATCATGGCACAAAGAGGCATTTCATTCTCTTGCCTGGAAAACTTGCATTTGTGATGAATGTCAGCCAGGATTTAATGCTTTACTGCCTAATCTAACTGTGCTGGTATGAACTACAGAAACAAATGAGTATAAAATAGCACCACTTTTCCTTGCAACTAAAAGAACTTGATCTGTTCTTCCAGGAACCAGGGGCCAAAGACTTCATGGTGATAAGCACAGGCTTAATACCTAGATCAAGTGATTCAGGAGAACACTTGCTGAAGATGCTATTGTGGTCCCTTCACCACCACTTCCAAAGCCTTGAAAAACCAAACAGGCTCATGTATTCTTGGAAACATGCTCACCATTAGGAAGTTGGAAAGAGGTGGATCAGAAGACACAATAATGTAAGGGAACAGAGTCCATTTCAACATTTCACCTGCCATTTCCCACCCTTCCCTTCCCTTCCCTCCTCCCCAAGCAAACCCGAAAGCTGCACACTCCACACAGCATTTTCCCAGATACAGACCCACACATGGAAACACGGATAATAAATACATATTTTATATACACACACATACATAGCACCACTTCTATAAGGCTTAGAAGATACGAAACATACGTTACAGGGAGGTGCTTGTTATAAAGAGGTATTTATAATGAGCTTCCAAATAGCTGGGAGACAAAAATACAGCAGAGAGCCTTATATCAGAGGTAGCCTTACAACAGACAGTTTCAGTACCAGGGCACTGTATAAAAACTATGCAAGAGGGCTTGGAGGAGGGGGAAGAGGCAGGGGAAAAGAAGGTTACAAAGTAGAATTGTAGAGCCCTGCTGGGATGTTGAAAAGTAGCTTCAAGTGTCTGGGTTTGTTAACTTCAAGCTCTAGTTTGCTGGATTGGAAATGTTGCCTGCCCAGCCAAAATCCTGAAGCTCAGACAGTGTAGAAAGGCCACTCAGATAAACACTGGATGATTGAGTGGGTGACACATCAGCTGACGTGACAGGGGTCTATTGATCCAAACAGAAATCACTACCTTCACCAAGGAGAAAATGCATCCAGGCCCACTGCTTGTTGGAAGAGGTGGCTCAACACAAGTGAGGATTGGGGGACATCAAGGAACAAAGGAGCCTGATTTACTCTACACCTTCCCCAGCCAATTCTGATCTACTGCATAGATAGAGATCCAGTGGCAGGCCAGGGGGAGAGCATGAAAGAGTGAACACATTAAAGCGTTGTGGGCACTGCTGGCTCTGTCTGTAGCTGAAGGCACCTGGAGGAGGCTGTGACCCTACTGGAGCATGACTTGCCAGTGCAGGGGGAGAGGGAAGCGGGGTAGGTTTCTTCTGCTCTAACATGCCCTTTTCAGTTCAAGGGAGCAGGGACAGCTTATTTTGTTTTTTTTACCATAACCAAGAACTAGCCCCTCTCTTGCTGCACTATAGGAATAGTCAGTCATTTTCTGTTTGTTAGGTGGTATTGGGCCTAACAGGATGAAGCAGGGTGAGATGGGCATTTTTTTTGCTTTTTAATCCAGCAGAGGTCTGCAGACAAGTAGAGCTTGAACCAAGTGCAAAGCCTCTCCTTCCCCCCTCCCCCACCCCCCATCGATTCAGGCGCCTTTTGGGGGGTGCCTCTTCCCCAACAGTACTGCCTTCTTCTCTGGGGGTGAGGAAGTGAAAGCGGTGGGGCCCTTCACAAGCCCACTCCTCACTCTAGAGAGGCAGGCAGGGAAGGGAAAGAAAAAGAAACAGGACACTGGCTAAAGGCAGCAGTCACCAGTCACAGCACCTACAGAGGTGCAGGCACCACAAGGGTGATCATCTAGTGTTTATTGAGGCCTCAAAAGGAGCTTGACATTTGAAGGAAGGACATCTGGAATCAACATGGAGTTCTCTTGTATATTCACCTCCTGTCCACCCTTATGCCAGGTGTCTAAGCACCACCCGACAGGCAGAGTAGGTAGGCTCCCATTCTCCATAACACTTCAAAAAGCCTTTGTACAAGATTCATCTCCTTCTCTTCTGCCCCTGCCTATGCCTCTACATAATATAAAACAAGGAAAAGAGAACCAGGAAGTGCTCAGAGTAATCCCAGCCTCTTCCAATGCAGCAGGTCATGGCCCATGGCTCCTTCCATACTGAATACTCTCCATACATTTCTTTTAAAACTTTTATTCAATAATATATAATTCTTTTAATTATAATATAGAACTGTCCATCATGCCATATAGTCCATCCCCATCCCCATTCCCTCTCTGCCCTGCCAAGTCTGGAGCCAGCTAGTTAATAGGTTAACGCTGGAGTTCAGGGAGCAAAGGCTGGGGTGAGGGGGAAGCAACATTAACCAACAACCATTTTGCATACCCTTCACATTTTCCATGCTTTCTGGGTCAGGAAGAGGTCAACAGGAAGTCAAAGGCGAAGGAACCTTTTACATTCAGAAGTAAGGTTTGTGTTTATAAACTGTTGGGTGCCATCAAGCCGGCGCAGTCCCTGCTCTCGTACCCCGCCACCGCCACGTCGTCTGGCCGCCATCTCTGTACACACGCTGATAAGACGTTTGATTTGGTTCTTGTTCTGCTTATGGAAAATTGGGAGGAACAGCATCGGACCTAAGGAGAGACGGGAGGAGGGAAGTGAGCATCAGAAGCTAGTGGGAATGGACACCAATGTGTATCCAGAGCTTCCCCTCTGGGCCCAGGAGACAGGAGGGCGTTCTGCTCCATCTCCATTCCTACCACCTTGGGCAACTTGCATCACCTCTGTGCCTTATCAAAAGTAGGTAGAATACTCACCTATTTCCAGTGGCTTCCTAAGGCTTATGTAGTGTCTACAGAGCGTTTGGATCTGTACCAGCACTACAGAAGTAGTGAATTACTATTTCAAAGAAGACCAAGTAAATCAAGATTTGCTTTTTTACCTTGCCCGCTATACTGATGGTTAGCAGCAATCCAGCAGGTAACAACTTATTATGAGCACATAGGACCTTAATGCCTTATTTCATCACCACTCCTTCAGCCGTCAGCATCGTGTCAAACTTCACTCTATTCTGGTAATATTCTCTCTTCTACAGCCCAAAGTGCTCTCATTACAGGCAATGACTAGCTGAGGAAGTTGCAAAACACTGTTCCTTTCCTCTCCTCCAACAGGTCAAGTACACAGGTCCTGTCTGTGGGCAAAGGCCCTGCTGGGCCCACCAGCACGGCTCTAAGCTCAGAATCCAAGTTCTTGCTCTCTACATGGAGTTGCTATTGCACAACTGGGCCAGCCTACCCAGCTGGGAGTCTGAACTGCTTCATGGAGAGCTCTGTCCCAGATCACCATTATGTTATTGTATCAGAACAGTACAATCACGAGCAAAACAAATGGGATTGTGTGTCCAGTCATCTTCCCCCCCTATACCCTCCTTTCCTTCCTGGATACAAGATACTTCATATCTACTTTCCCCCTGCTGTCCTTATGAAGGTGAAAAATACTCAACTACTACACAGGGTGAAGCAACATTTCCTGCCCTGGCTGCCTGAAATGCCGACTCACTCAAGACAAAGCAGCAGCTCATCAAACAGTAGGCGTGTGCACATGTACGCACTACTCACTACATTACAGCAGTGAGAAATGCTAGTTAAGGCTGAAATGGTGTTTACAGCCCCAATTTCAATGCTTGACTTTCTCATTTCCTGTTGGACTGATGCTTCCCACACTGTCTCAAACTGAGGTTAGACCTGGGGAAATATGGGACCACCTCTATTTCCGACTGTGTACCTGATCAGGTTGGCTAGGGAATGCAGGTTCTCTCAGCAACATAAACCTGCCCACGCTGCTATGAGAAACTTAAGCTTTTTGTGTGCACACACACATCCAAATTCACTTTAGCTTTGGAATTTAATATTAAATGCAAAACTAGCATTAATGCAACATTAAAGTTGAGGAACCAACCAAAGCCAGGAATTGTCACAAGTTCAGTTTACCATCATAATGCTACCTTCTACTCATTTCCTTGCCTGGTAACTTTCCATGACATAGGTCAGGAGTTCTCAAAAAAATGGAGGCTGTGGACAGCTCAGACAATCATGACTACTCGCTCATTCCATATTGCTGAAATTGGAATGGATCCCCAATACATGAGATGAGGGAAAAGGGAAAAAGTCATTCCAATGAGAACAGCTGAGAATCACACATAGGCTACATTTAAAAACCTTCCCTTTAGAACTCGTTCAGCTTTGAATGGCTTGAAGTCTCAAGCTGGGCACTGCTTTAGTGTTTGTTTTTTAAACCAGGAGAACAAATGAAAAAGATGATGCTCTCACAGCATGCTCTTAATAAAGCACATTTGCCCAAGCTGAAAAAGATAAAATTGTGTGACCTTGCAGGTAAAAGATTCATGACCTTAAGAGAGTAAAATCATTGTTTTTTTCCAGCTTGAATCGCTTTTTCTTCCTCAGTGAGCTGTATAAAACAATCCTAGTTTGAAATTTCCAGCTTCAGCTATTAAAATCTGGCAGGCACAAAGTGCAACTCCCCAGGTATTTGGGAAAATCTGAGTTCTTCCTTTTAACCTGGTAGCAGCTGAAGTGATTCTGCTGAATTTTCAAAGAATTTCATCTTTGGGTTGACAGCAGACATTGATTGTTTCATCCCAAAAGGAGCTAGTGAGAAAGTTAAAATAAACAGCCCAGTTCTGATAAAAGGGGAATGAAGATACATTAGAACTCAAAATGTATCTATAGGATGCAATGCTTTCAGCTGCTCATAGTGTATGAATATCCCCATAGACTAGAAGACAACAAAAGAAGTTCATAGGTATAGTTATTTATTGATTTCAGTGAATTATACAAATGGATGTGATCTGCTCTCAATGCCAATATAACTTTATTGGAATATGGAATGTAAACAGATGTTTCAAATAGAAACATTCTAACCTTATAAAAATTAAATATTTGACATAGAAGGAAATTCTCTGTTTAGGTGCTGGTGGGTAAACACTATCTCCAGTTTCTAAGTTTATGATATCACCAGCCCCATTCAAGGAATTACACACTGAACACTTAGAGGAGGCAACTGTGAATTGTGGGGCTACACAGGCATCAGGGAGGCAGAGAAAAGCCATGAGAGAACCCCTACAACAGAATCATTGCCCAGAGTTTATATTTGGCTGATTTTGTTAGAACGCTACATGGACCCAAGTCCTGGATCAGTAGCAACACAGCCTCCCCAACAGCCCCACTCCAACCAGACCACTGCTTCCCGTATCTTCCCCCCATACCTGCTACTCCCAAAGAACCTTCTCCCCTCTGCTTTTCATTCTATGTTGCTGAATTAAACCACTCTAGATTCACGCTCCTGAACTATATCCAAAATGAACTATTATGCAAGCCATGTAATAAGTTATATGGTTGCATGTCTGTTATAGCAAGTCTTATAATATCAATTTTCCCAAGTCTGTAGCAAAGCATTTTTCTGCCACAAAAAAACCCTTCTGTCCTCTACGTTAAAAATTTTCCATAACAGGTCTGTATTGTTTCTTCCCAGATGGAGCCTTTCTTGAGTGCACCCACAGGGGAGCTCCCCTCTCCCTGAGCAACTCAGAAAGATGTTACATTTTAATGATCCAAATCAATCCAGAGACACTGGTTGTTCATTCCCATTTAAAATTAAAGGGCCAAATTCAGACCTGGAGTAAGCAGACTCAGACTTCAACAGCACTGCACATACTTATACACTGTCTGAATTTGTCCTTGGGTCTACAATTAAAAAGGCCTATTCGCATGGGTGCATGCTAGGGGCTAATGACAGAATAGCAACTTTGCCCCACCAGTATGATAGGAAAAGGCCAGACTGGGAAGAAAGAATTAGATCCATAGAAATGTGAGCCACAAATCAGTCAACTTGAGCCCTAAGGATATAACTATTTATTTAGATCTTGCACAACCATTTTTTCCAGGGGCTTTGGTACCACAGGTTTAAAGTAACATTATCCACAGCCACCAGAGAGGACTGAGGTTTTAAAACCCCCAAAGGTTATATTTCTGCTGAGCATAAAGGAACTGTGGGGAGGGGTCTTGGTTCATTCCCTTCACTGTGTGGCTGAAGGTTTTGTTTTTATTTGTAAATATCTTGAATTACCCGTCGTTTTCCAGTCTTCATCGTGCTGCTGTCAGGCCACTAGAAAGCACAGCATTTTCTGAGCTGGGCTGAGACTGCTCCTTCACCACTGGGTCTGCAAGAGACAAGGATCAGCCAGGAATCCAAAGCTACACTGCCCAGTATCAAAGCTTCACTGCCAAGGAAACCTCCTCCCAGGCTCACAAGCTTCCATTATACTCCTTGTAGCTACATGGCTAGATGTCCAGCCCTCAGCACAGAATTAAGAGCCATTCAATTCCTGTCTGGAAAAAGATGTATAGTCCCACAGCAAACCCCTGTTCTGCTCATCAAGCCCACCCTTTGATTCCAGCTCCCCACAACTCACAGAAGTAGGGGTGCTCCATAGCTTCTTTGGCAGTCAGCCTCTGTTGATGGTCATATCGCAGAAGTTTGTCCAGAAGGTCCAGGACTTCAGGGCTGACCAGGTGTCTGTTCTCGCTATGGATGAAGTTTTCCCAGCGTTTCCGTGAATGCCTAGAGCAGAGGAATCTATTATTGCACAGAATCCTGAACAAATTAAGCTCTGAATTGCAAAGCAGCCACAGTTCTATCCTGGGAATCACCTGTCACACCCCACACACGGAGCTATTGCTCCTCCCACTGGAACAAAGTTGATCTACCAGCTCCTTTTATTTCCAGAATCCAGCATTTGGCTAGTGAAATACAAAAGCATTTGAGGGGGTTTTTATGGCACAACTTACTTGGGGAATGTTCAGCCACAAGTGCTCTAATTCCAGTGACAGATAAAGAAGTGCAAAAGAATACTGGAATGGCGAACCTAGATGTAACCATCTGTGAGAAGGCTTATGGAAGCTCTTTGCTCTCAAGGGGTCCAGTCCACTGCAGGCAGACATGGATTCCAAATGGTGAGAAAAAGCCAAGTTTTTCTTTTCAACCAGTATATAAATTGTGAGCCAGTTTTCCAAAATTTTATTTGCAGTCCAATAGGGTGTGGGTAATTTTACTGACAGACCAGTAAAACATCATCAGCTTGGTCTACATTAGAAAGTTTTACTAGTAGAACTCAAGCTCTGCCAGCAGACAGCACCCACAAAGTTCTCCTGCAGCAGTACCCTACTTGCAGCTGGCAGGGTTAGCCACTTCTGCTAAAGTGACTAAGGCTTTTGCCACCACCTGGCAATTGGCAAGTATGCATGGACACTCCGGAGTCACCTGGCAGCTCTAGCTGCCCCATCAGCAACCAATGCCTTCCTGAGGGGCACCTCGCACTCCGACAGCATAGCTACTAGAAATGCCTAGCTGTGTATGCACTCTGGTGGCAGCAACCACCACATGCCACCAGAAATTCTACTGGCAGAACAGGCAACTGTAGACAAAGCCAAGTCTAGATTTTCAGAGTGCAGTGAATTCAAACAAAGAGTCTCCTCTGATTTGAATGACGGTTGTGTGTTTTATGTCCTTGAGTTGCTATTGGAATAGATACTTAGGTAATTGTTCCTTTTCCCTTATAAAAAGCAAAAACATTCTCCTATCCACTTACTGCCCCAGGATATCATTGAAGTGTGGGTCCAGTTCTATGTGATATTTCTTCAGGTATCCATATAGCTCATCTGTGCCCAAAACCTTAGCAATGCGAACCAGCTGCAATAAAAGACAATGACAGAAAACAGCATGAGAAGGGCACATCAGCAACTTGGAGGAATGGAGAAAGGTCTGCTGCGCCAAAAGGTTCTTTCAAGTTTGGTATACAAAAGAGAGACTAGGACACTGGTCTGAGGGCCCCTATGAGCAAAGCCACTTAAAACTAAGAGCTCAATATGAGGAAATCCTGAAGTCCAAGGAAATGCCCACCTAAAAGTAATTTCTCCAGTTGGTGCCAATTTATCCATTGGCATTGTGTGTAAGACATGCTTTCTGCTCTGAGTCCCAATGTCTCAGTTCAACTAACACATGGAACCACTCTACCAATCAGATGGTCCAGTGCCCTGAACACCACCAACAGCCCAAAAAGGAGAAGCAAACAAGAGACCTTTTGTAGGAAAGTCAGGAAGCAGCTCCTTACCTGGTCATAGTTGTCTTGACCATGGAAGAAGGGCTCTTTTCGGAAGATCATGCTGGCCAGCATACAGCCTAAACTCCACATGTCTAAGCTATAGTCATACATCTAAAGAGAGGAAAGGACACAGAGAGATGGGGAAAAGGGTGTCTTTAGTTCAGGCCCCAGTCCTATCATTTAGTCACAGGAGATGATCTGAGCTTTTTAATTTGACAGCAAAACTCTTTCCAAATTAGGGAGCCTCTAGAAAGCACATGGACACTCCAAAGGTAAGTAACCAACGTACAATCACAACCAATATAATTAAGCAGCAATTAGAAGCCAGGTACTTACTTGGTAGTCCACAAGGAGCTCTGGTCCTTTAAAGTACCTAGAGGCCACACGGACATTGTATTCCTGAGCTGGATGGTAAAACTCTGCCAAACCCCAGTCTATGAGCCTCAACTGAACATGAAGGAGACACACATAGTCAGGAACAAATAGTTTAGCTGTCTCAAACAAACAAGTTAGGCATGCAAAGCTTTTTATGATCCTGTGGTGAAAGCATGGAACCCTCTGTGCCATGATGCAACATCACAATAGATTCTCTTGTACAGGGTTGCTTCACTCTCTTATCTGCTGTGGTTTATGGAATCACCCAGGCTCAAAGAATTATCTGCCTTGCAAGCCCAATTAAATAATCTATTGCTTGGTGACTCATTCTTTACTAATGCCACCAGTCAACAAATGACAGTTAATTGTATGCTGGGGAGGCAGGCACAAACCAGCCACGACTCTATTTGGTTTAACATAGCTGGCCCCAAAAGGACTATCAAATCAACACTAATGTGCAAGGAGAGGTGTGAAGCAGTTGCTGGCTGGAGTAGGGTATAATGCAGAGAAGACAGGATGAGCTGCCAAGAAGGGCAGGCTGCAACACTGGCATGCACCTGCTCACAGCATAACTGCAGGGGTACTGCCATCTCCTCCACAGCTGCTGATTCATGGGGAGGGAACTGAAGCCTACAGCTTAACAGAAAAAAAGTGTAAGAGCTGCAGAGTGCTCCCCACACAAGCTGGCCCAATGAAAAGAAAGACTTTCACAGAGATTTCAGGGCCAAAGGGGAAAAGCTGGTACTTCACTGCTGCAAGTGCCACTAAAGTTAGGATGACACTATAATGCTGGGCACCTAGTTTGTGAGACAATGAACAAGTATCTACACTAGGGCTGGCCAAAAGCTACAGAGGATCCACAGAAGGCCTCAGCAATTGGCCAAGCCTGTGCAGATGAGACTTCCAGTTAGGTGACCAAGCCAGCCTGGAAGATGCAGAGGAAAGGTTTCATCCAATATGATCCAATATAGCCACATGCATCTAAAGAATTACAAGAGCTTCAAAATTTGGAGACAAGCCCGTTTGTGAGCCAATGGAGTAAAGTTACTACAGGGCTCCAAAAATGCTCTGTGCCATAATGCAAAACCATGGATGATGAGCTAGGGCCTCAATAAGAAAACAAACTCCACTGGGACTAATTTTACTAGGTCCAACGTTAAGTTTATGGAGCTGTAATAATACAAAAGTTTTTGTTTCCAGAACATACAATCCATGGGCATTTCAGACCACATACAAGGTCACAGCAGAACACAACAGTATCCGACAGAGAAACTTCTACCCTCCTCCCCCCCACTCCTACTCACAGGCCTTTGTTCCCTACCCCTAGATCCTCTCCCCAGGAGATCTCCAGGCACTAGCAGCCGTCTCCCAAATCAGCAGAGGAATACTGAAGTCACCAGAAATATTCCTCTTACAGCCTGGCTGAGCCAGAGCATTTTGTCACTATAGTCTCAGAGCAAGGCTGATCTCTCCCTGTGAGTGAAGCGTATCACTTCAGACAGGCAATTCCTGGCATGCACCAAGTCAGCATGCACTGATAATGGAGCCCAACTTAATGGCTCAGCAGTGGCAAAACATCAAGCTGCCCTCCAACCTCCGTGCCTTTGACAGTACATACCTTTTTTTGTTGGTGGTCTATCATGACGTTGTGGGGTTTGACGTCCCTATGCATGATCCCCATGCTGTGACAGTAATCCAGGGCCTGGCAGATACGCATATAATGTTAGATAAACCAGCGAACAGACAAAATTAATGATGTCACAGACCGTTCTCCAGCTAGTAAAAAGACTTGGAGGTGAAGTCTTTTGGTCTGGGAAACCCTGCAACCCAAGGACTATGAACAACTGGTGCTCTCATTTCTCTCACCATCCTAGCTGAAGCGGAAGTGGCACATTGCCAGCCTGAACAATTAAGGACTGTGCAGCTGCAGTTCCTCTACTGGTGGCTTTGTCATACTAAATTCCTGGTCTCTCAGAACAGACTTTAGAACTCAAAGCCCAGCGAGGTGTCACAGTGTTCAGCTGCCCAGCAGTTCTAGGGTCACCAAAGAGAGAAGAGTCCTCTTCACCTCCTTCCATGCAGTCATGTCTACCCCCCGCTCAAACTTTCTATAATCTTGCTTAGCCTTAATAACTTTCACCTTTTTGTTTAAACAAAATTCCTCCCTGCAACACACACAGCGGTTCCACAACCAGGACAGAAATTATAACATGGTTTAAAAGCGCAAGACCAAGAGTTCCTGGATCTGCAGCTTGGTTACCGTAAGCTATTCACTTCTTCCTGTGCAGCTGTTCCCTCATGTGCAATGGGGAGAATGCTGCTTCCCCACAGGAGGGGTGGGAGAGTCCAATCCATTAACTATGTTTGTCAAGTGCTCCAAGGTTTTTACCAGAGGAGGACAGTGTATTCCCTGCCTGTGCTTTAACAGGCTGCTTGTGGGGCTATGTTACTTGTCTGGGCTGCTTTGCTCCTCCCCCTATTTCTTCCTGGGATTTCAAAGCATTCCCCAGGTCAATCAAAAGGCTGTTTCCTTCAGAGACAGGCACAATCATTGCCTAAAGCACAGGGCAGGGAGTGAGGACAGGTAAACACAGCCTGAGCTGGCTAGAAGTTCTATTCCAAGAGGTCACCTTTAGACATCAAGCCCTGGAGTAAGCACTCTGGAGCTTAGATGGACTTGCCTAGGCACTTCAGACTCATAGTTGGCCCACAAGGTCTGGAAACAGCAATCTTCAAAACCCAGTGGTTCTGCTGGGAATCAAGACAGATAACAGCTGCTGCTCTGGCACAGACTCAATGTAATACAACCAAGACTGCAGCTTAAACAACTGAAGCGCTCCCTTTACATTCTTCAGATTAAACTCTTAAATTCCACAGAGGCAGGACAACACATCTCAAAAGCTTCCCAGTCTCACACTGGAAGTGTCACCAGAAAAATACTTGGTGTGGGCCACTCCAGTAAGACAAAGAGTAAGAGCACACTCTGCTCATACTCTGGGAGTATGTCATCTATCCTTCCTTCCAAGGGGGAGAGAAGAAAGGAGCACTCAGCCACTTATTCACTTCATAGGCTTCTAGCAATGGTCTCCAGGGAATTACCTTAAGAAATAAATTAACAAAAATCAACAAAACCATCTACAACTAACACCTCATCCCAACCCCACAACAGAAAATTTCAGAGCTCTTAACTAACCATCATGCGTCTGACCTGTGGGTCTATTCAAGGGGGGAAAAAAGATCAGAAGTTTTCCTCCTTTACTCCCCTACCCAACTCCCACTGTCCTAAAAAAAAACAGGTCTTGCAGAAAGCTCATCAGAACACTTCTCAGGCAACGTGAGTTCTGTAGCATAAAGACACAGAATTGGTGACCCATGTCTTCTGCCTTTGGAGAATGTTAACCATCACCGATCCCCTGCCCCACTTACTTCCTTTACCCCCAAGCAATTTCCAGTGCTGTGTGCAGCAAGCCTTACATGCCATTTGCCTGTGTAACCACTACCAAGAGTGAACTTGTTACAGGGAAACTACTCCCTCTACCTGCAGTATAAAAAGACAACTAAGCAAGCCCCACCTCAGTTCTGAACACCTTGCATTTGTCTCTCTCCAAGGCCAGATATTTCGATCTTCTCTCACCTACACACTGCTCCCATTTATTTATATGGAAGGAAACTACACAGATAATCCAAGAAGAAATCAACATGAGTACCAGCTATCCAGAGGGCTGCTTAAGGAATTCTACCATTTCCCTGCCCCAGGTTTGTGGCCTTAACCTGCTGTCCAGGATCTTCACTTACCTTGAGCAGCTCATACATATAAAATCGAATATCAAAGTCTGTCAGGATCTGGTACAGTTGCTGAAACAGATTTGGGGGAAGGAAGGTAGGAGAGAGGGGGGAAGAGAGAGAAAGAGAATAGAAAATAAATATTCAAATCTCTATTAGTCAATCTCTAAACATGCCTTGTATTTCCTAGGTCCTACTGCCTTGAATCACTGAAGCCATTACAGATTTTGTTCGTTTTTGGTTTGTTCTGGGTTTTTGTTGTTGTTGTTTTGTTTGTTTGGTTTGTTGTTGGTTTTTTTTGGGGGGAGGGGGGGCAGAGGTTGGGGGGGCACGGAAATCTTTACCCCCCCTATTCTCTGGAGCCCAGAAAGGGAGGGTGACTACTCTGGAGAACATGGCGTATACTGGAAAATGAGAGAGACAGGCATACATTCCACAGCATTCTTACCTCATTCCTTTCCCTATCTTGGATGATCCACTCAGCATCAGAAAGGAAACAGCAAAAGCTTATATGAAACCCAAACACATACTGGGTTTCATATTGTTACCTATTATTATCAAGGTTCCTATGCTAGTCTTTGACACAATTTACAAAGCTGATTACAGATGTAAAACAAATAATTGCTCTCTAGCCTGGTAAAGTGTTGGCAAGATCTTGAACAGCCCAATCTGGGGGAGTAGGGAAAAAAGAACATGAATCTGAATTGTTAAGATCAGAGGGACAGGCACAGGGCTGAGACTTCTTAAACATCCTCCTCTGTCATCTCCCTCAGTCCCAGGCCCAAGGAAAGATGACAAAAGGAAGAGCTGTACAAGGGGAAGGGACTCCAGAATGGCACAAGAGCCCAGAGGCCATTCTGGCAAGGTGGCAAAGGACACTACTGCACTGAATCCAAACAAACTCCTATGATCTACTTATGATCTCACCCTCCCCCCTCTATAAGCATTTCTGATCTCAAAAGGAACAAAGTACTAGGGGAACAATTTAAACCACATCTCATTCTCAGCACTACACCTCTGATCATTCTGAACATGCAGAGTCCCCTCCCCAGGTCATACCAAGCACAGACCGATCATTTCACTTCATAGCTAGCACCAGCACCCTTGTCAGCCAGACCTGTACCATTATTCCTGTTCCAGAAGAACAAGAAAGCCCTTATACAGGGTGAGGTGAGACTTGCAGTACAACACTAGGAAGCAGCAGCTGTGCCAGGAGTGAAACTCACATTAAGTTTGAGACAGAACAGCAGGATTTCACCTTTTTCCTTCTTAATAAACAAGAGGCTCCTTAAAGCCCAGTCACATCATTTCATTTCTTTAACTTCAAAGCCAGCTGGCTCAGGGCATGCCCAGCTGTCTGGAGAAAATCCCACAGCGAGGGATTGAAATTCACATTCTAAGAAACTAGAGCTAGCTCTGGACCCTCCCTGGCACTGGAGTGCAGTTGCTGCCTGAGCTACAGAGTGGCATAAACACATTACCACCTTTGCCCAAGGCATCTCCAGAACCACATCCAAAGGGCCCCTCTGCCACCACCCTGACTCCAAGACCCTTAGCCATTCAACTACATACAATAATTACACAGACACATGGGAATAGAGTTCCAGGTCTCCTGAAGTGCAATCTCTGGGTTATTTTCATGAGTTGGACGGTGAGGGAGAGGGAATGTTTACACTAAAGAGCAACTTAATGAACCAGGCAACTCAGCAAGGAGGAATTAAAGGTTTAGTAATCAAGCTACAAGAGGCTGCACACCAAGCTAGTTGGCCCCACCTTGGGTGCACTGAGCCATCCATCTACCACTCCTTCTGAATGCTCTGGAGCAGATTATTGTTATTGGAGGATGGCTCATCCACTTGGACTGGCTCATTTAAAAAAGAAGCAGGTTGGGGGGAAGGGTGCTCTGAAATGTCTCTCTCTGTGAATCCCATCCCCTAATTACCATCACTAATTTAGCACGTCTCATCTGGAGATATCAAAACGCATTAAGAAAGTTAGTGCAGATCAGCCTTCTCATTTCGCACATGGGAAACAAGAGACCAGACCTGCCCAAGTCGCACACAGAGCCAGTGTTGTCAATGCTCTGCTCATTTACTGAGGCACATGGCTTCCTCTCAACAGAAGGGAAAGAGTCAGTAGGGAAGGAATTCTCTCTCTCTTCATGGCTGCAAAATATTAACATATTCTTTCTTTCCTCATGGCCTTACAAGTAAGGAGACGAGGAGGGAAAGCATAAGGCTTCTTGAGGTAATTCTCCCTTCCCAGTCCTCTCCCCTGAAACTACATTACCTTTTTAGCAGAAGTTTGTTGACCAACAACTCTTTTCAAAACATTTCTTTAGAAAAGCAACATTGAAATGCAGAACAGTTTCCTACTGTGCTCATACAAGACAGAGCCAAAGTAATAGCTGAGGTGCCCAGGCCACTACTGTCAAGAGAGCTGAGCAAGTAGGTGGAAGGAGGCAAATCTGAGACTTTAATGCCTTGCATCTCCAGCTGCCTCTTGCCTTTCTACCTACACTGTTTCTCTTCCATACAGCATGGTGAGTTCAGAGGACCTGTCCAGACAACAGCACACATGTGGTTTGTGGTGCTGCAGACTCATCTGTGGCACCGCAAAGCACGCAAGCTCACCATGCCAATTTGCAGCACAGCAAGGTTTTTTTAACACTGGGAGGTCCCAGTGGCAAAAAGCCTGTGCCAAAAAAAGGGGTGTGGCATACATGATGGTAGTGCATGCCACCTGAAACCAGAGCCTGGCCAGCCAGAGCCATGCGCTGGCTCCCAGCCAGGCTTCATGGGCCCGGATCGCCACTGCTGGAGCCCCGGAAGGCCCCTGGACCCCAGGTAAGGCTGCTGAGGCCATCCCAGGTGCTGGCCCCAGCCTCCCCTAATGCACTCAGGGCAATTTGCCACGTGCCAAAGCACACAGTGCAGGGGCGTTCCCCACGGACAACTAGCAGTGGCACAAATGTGCCGCTGCTAGTTATCCCTGGGGAACATACATTCTCACCCATGGGGAGGTACCCACAGAGTTTTAAAGAACAAGGCTAAGGCTGCTACAGTACAGGACTTAGGGCACCAATAAGAAGGCAGCTTTGGGAAGCAGTCCTGAGAGACTTCAATAAAATGAACAACCCCCAGCAGGGCACACATTTTTGGTATTTAAACTATTTACAGACTACTATCACATACCCACAGAATTTGCTCCAGAGTTACAATGTCATGCACTGAAGTGTTGTTCTACTCTGAAATGACTAAAAATGTCACTACAAAGTTGTGTCATGATTCCTTTTAACACACTCAGATAGGCCATGCGTAGATTAAATGAGAGGGGTGTGTGCACAATAGGGCTGTGCAAAGCTTCAGGGGGCGATTAGATTCGGAAGAGATTCAGCCCGATTCAGTAACCGAATCGCCAAATCCAAATCCAAAAAGGGGACCAATTTAAAGGTCCGGATCGATTCAAAGCTCTCCAAATCTTCGGAAAATATCTGGACAGCTTTGACAATTCGGGCAGCCCCTGGTGGCTGCAGCTGGGAGCTGCAGCCAACTCCCAACTGGTAAGTACTAGGGGTAGGGGACAGGGTGCTGGGGGAGGGGACCATGGGGGGGATCCCTGCCTGCCCCCTCCACCCTCCCCCAGCTCCCAAAGGCTGCCCTCCCACTCACCCCAGCTCCTGGTACTTTAAAAAAGAGCCCAGTGCTCACAGTGCTGCCAGGCAGGGAAGCAATACTTGTTGCCCCCCACTGCATGGGGGGCTCTGTACGAGCCCCTGACCCCCCCCCCGAGCATCCCCACAGATGCCCTGCCCCAGCCAGTTCCAGCTCTTTAAGAAGGAAAAAAAAAACAACCCCAAGAAAAGCCCCAGGACTCACTGCTCCTGGTGCAGCCTCAGGGGCTCATGCAGAGCCTCCCACATGGCGCAGGGCAGCGGGGATCACCCCACGGCAAGAGCAGTGAGTCCAGGGGGGCAGTTTTCAGTTTGTGTTTTTTCTTAAAGGGCCACAGCTGGCCCGGGCAGGGCACCCGTGGAGGGGCTGGGAGAGCTGGGGGGGAGGGTCAGGGGGCTCATGCAGAGCCCCCTATGCAGAGTGAGGCAGTGGGGGGCAGCAGAGATTGTCCCCCACCTGGCAGCACCCACTGAGTTGGGCCTTTTTTTTTTTTTTTTTTTTTAAAAAGTGCTGGGAGCTGG